ACAGCTCGGTTCAGCGGCTCGCAGGTCCAACAGCGGCGGACCGGGTCGGATCATCGGATCATCATCGTTTTTCTGCCTTTAAGTTAGAGTTTGACATTTTCGTCTTCAACAAAGTTCAGTCGGGTCATCTGGATGGTTTCTTTTTTGTACAGATGTTTCATTGTTCATCCAAAGGACTTCATCCGTCTGAGGAGCCACAAATAACCTCAGTCCCACAAGCAACACACTCGCATAGTTGACCAACCCGTTTGCTGGCGATAAGATGGTTTCTGGGGCCCGCCCTCTACCCTGTCAACTCCTCTGAGGCAGCCATAGACAAAGTGGTTCAAAACATCAAAGTTCATTCTCAATAATCCAGGTAAAAATTCCAATAAAGTTCAGTCAGATGAGCTGGATGGTTTATTTTTTGCTGAGAAGTTTTGCCCTTTATCCAAAGGACTTCATCAGTCTGAGGAGCCACAAACAAACTCAGTCCCACAAACAGAACAGTCACATAGTAGACCAACCAGTTTGATCGCGATAAGATGGTTGTGGCTCCACGGACTGATTAAGTCCTTTGGGTGAAGGACAAAACGTCTCAACAAAAAAGAAACTGCCTAGATGACCTGACTGAACTCTGTTGGATTTTTTTTACCTGGATTATTGAGAATGAACTTTGATATTTTCGTCTTCAACTTTTATTATTTTTTATTTCACTTTTTGTGACTCTTACTTGTTATGCACACAAATATTTATATTTAAAATACAATACTATAACTTCATTATTACTTTAGGTATTATTACATTATTATACATTATTACATTATTATTTACTACTGTTTTGAGAAAAAAATGTACTTTTTTGCTTATATATATATATATTTTTTTTTTTGCTTTATGTCCTGGTATTGTTTGCTCAACCCTTAGTGTTTCACTTCATTTAAAAAAAATGCTATAAATAAGTTTTGTTGAGGGCAGCATGGTGGTGCAACTGATAGAGCTGCTGCCTCTCAGGGAGCGGGTCCACAGTTCAAATCTCGGACCGGGGGCCCTTCTAGGTGGAGTTTGCATGTTCTCTCCGTGCATGCGTGGGTTTTCTCTGGGTACTCCGGTTTACTCCCACAGACCAAAAACATGCATGTTAGACTGATTGGTAAATCTAAATTGTTCCTAGGTGTGAGAGAGAGAGTGAATGGTTGTTTGTCTCGTTTGTCTCTATGTGTCCCTGTGATGGGCTTGCGATCTGTCCAGGGTATACCCCACTCCTTGCACTGTGATTGCTGAACATGTGCACCGGTGACCCCCGTGACACAAAATGGAAGAAGCGGGTAAAAGATAATGGATGGATGGATGGAAGTTTGAGTTGAAAACAAAGTGAAGCTCCAGCAACGAACACAGAGGCTGTTTTCAGTTCATCTTCAAAAGTATCAAGAGTGAAGTAAAAAATAAAACTGTGGTGTTAATCCCAGGTTGACTTTTTGTATGTGTTGTACCTGAGGAGGGGGGTGATCGATTGCAGACACTACTTCTGCTGGACTTTTCTCTGGACACTCAAAGTCCATGTGGATCTTCTCCTGCACCAAAATACATGATCATTATTATTTAATAAAATATGTCATCAATTTGACCAAAAATCATGGATCTTCTCTCATTCTTATTGTAACTTCAAAATGACAATGATTCCTGAATAAACAACCATATGATAAAGCGTTAATGTTCTTAGTGAAGTTAGAACTGTAGTGTAGTTAGAACTGTAGTGTAGTTAGTTTTTGTATTGAACGCTTTTTGAATGTAGTTAGAACTGTTAGTCGAAGACCACGAGGAGGGAAACGTTTCAGGAGACAGAGGGAGAAGAGGAAAGTGAAGAATGTAGGACTGAGGGTTGCAACTCTAAATGTGGGGACAATGACAGGCAAAGTTAGAGAGCTGGCTGACATGATGCAGAGAAGAAAGGTAGATGTTTTATGTGTCCAAGAGACCAAGTGGAAGGGCAGCAAGGCTTGCAGCATTGGAGCAGAGTTCAAACTGTTTTACCATGGTGTGGATAGAAAGAGAAATGGAATAGGGGAGGTCTTGAAGGAGGAGTTGGCAAAGAATGTAGTAGAGGTGAAGAGAGTGTCAGATAGGGTGATGTGCCTGAAGGTAGAAGTAGAAGGTCTAATGCTAAACATTGTCAGTGGTTATGCTCCACAGGTTGGATGAGATGAGGAGGAGAAAGATACATTTTGGAAAGATCTGGATGACGTGACAGAGAGTATTCCCAGGGAGGAAAGAGTGGTGATCGGAGCAGACCTGAATGGACATGTTGGTGAAGGAAACAGAGGGGATGAGGAAGTGATGGGTAGGTTTGGTTTCAAGGAAAGAAACAGGAATGACAGATGGTGATGGATTTTGCCAAGAGAATGGAAATGGCTATAGTCAATACTTATTTCCAAAAGAGGGAGGAACATAGAGTGACCTATAAGAGTGGAGGAAGGAACTGCATTCTGTGTAGAAGAGGAAACCTGAGGGAGATTGGGGACTGTAATGTTGTGGCAGGGGAGAGCATGGCCAGACAGCATCAGATGGTTGTGTGTAGAATGACTGTTGTTGTGAAGAAGAGAAAAATAGTACAATCAGAGAAGACCAAATGGTGGAAGCTGAAGAAAGAAAAATGTTGTGGGAAATTCAGAGAGGAGCTGTTAAAGTCTCTGGGTAGTAAGAAAAAGCTTCCAAATGACTGGGCTACTACAACAACAGTAATTAGAGAGACAGGTAGGAAGCTACTTTGTACTTGGAGTTATATGGGAGACTGGACACTAAAGCGGGTGAGAAGGACTTGGCAAGACAGAGGGATCAGGCTTGAAAGGATGTGCAGCAGGTTAGGCTTATTAAAGATAGGAATGGTAATGTTCTAACAAGGAAGGAGAGTGTTACAGGAAGATGGAAGGAGTACTTTGAGGAGCTAATGAATGAAGAGGATGAAAGAGAAAGAAGAGTAGAGGTTATAGAAACTGTGGACCAGGAAGTGGGAAAGATTAGTGAAGGTGAAGTTCGGAAAGCTCTGAAAAGAATGAAGAAGGGAAAGGTAGTAGGACCTGATGACATACCAGTAGAGGTTTGGAAATGTGTTGGAAAGATGGCAGTGAGGTTTTTGACTCAAATATTCAATGGCATATGAGGGTGAGAAAATGCCTCAGGAATGGAGAAGAAGTGTGTTGGTGCCAATTTTTAAGAACAAGGGTGATGTACAGAGTTGTAGCAACTACAGGGGAATTAAGTTGATGAGCCACACGATGAAGATCTGGGAGAGAGTTGTGGAAGCAAGACTTAGATGAGTGGTGACTATCTGTGAGCCAAGAAAAAGCACCACAGATGCCATCTTTGCTTTGAGAATGCTGATGGAGAAGTACAGACAGGGTCAGAAAGAACTCCATTGTGTCTTTGTGGATTTAGAAAAAGCATATGACAGAGTACCAAGAGAGGAGGTGTGGTATTGCATGAGGAAATCTGGAGTGGCAGAAAAGTATGTTAGACTGGTACAGGACATGTGAGAGGACAGCAGGACAGTGGTGAGATGTGCTGTAGGAGTGACAGATAGCTTCAAGGTAGAGGTGGGATTGTATCAAGGATCAGCTCTGAGCCCCTTCTTGTTTGCTCTGGTGATGGACCAACTAACAGATGAGGTCAGGCAAGAATCCCCATGGACGATGATGTTTGCAGATGATATTGTTATCTGTGGTGAGAACAGGGAACAGGTGGAAGAGAACTTGGAGAGGTGGAGGTATGCACTTGAAAGAAGAGGAATGAAAGTCAACCGTAGTAAGACAGAGTACATGTGTGTGAATGAGAGGGAGGCCGGTGAAACAGTGAGGCTACAAGGAGCAGAGGTCACAAAGGTGCAGGACTTCAAGTACTTGGGGTCCACTGTCCAGGAAAATGGGGAATGTGATAAAAAAAATAGAGTCCAGGCAGGATGGAGTAGATGGAGAAAAGTTTCAGGATGGATTTGTGACAAAAAATGTGTCAGCAAAGGTCAAAGGAAAAGTTTACAAGACAGTGGTGAGACCAGCTGTATTGTATGATCTGGAGACAGTGGCACTGACAAAAAGACAGGAGAAAAACTGGAAGTGGCAGAAATGAAGATGCTAAGGTTCTCCTTAGGAGTGACAAGGCTGGATAAGATTAGGAATGAGAATCGGAGGTACAGCACAGGTTGAACAACTGGGAGATAAAGTTAGGGAGGCCAGACTCAGATGGTATGGACATGTCAAGAGGAGGGACTGTGGGTATATTGGCAGAAGGATGGTAGAAATGCAGCTGCCAGGAAAAAGACAAAGAGGAAGGCCAAAGAAGAGATACAGGTATATGAATGTAGTTAGAGATGACATGAAGGTAGTTGGAGTGAGGACAGAGGATGCAGAGGACAGTGAGGTGGAGGAGGATGACTCGCTGTGGCGACCCCTGAAGAGGGAAAAGCCGACAGAAGAAGAGAAAGCGTTAATGCAAAGTTCATAATAAAAAAACAAGTTGGACTGAATATAAAGAAGACGTATTCTGCTTTCTTTTTCTTTTTGTTCATAACCTGTATTTAATGTAAGAATGTTTGAACCTTACAGAAAACAATTTGCATTACCGGGTCCTTCCTTGTTTTTTTTGTGAACCTTATGGACTGTGAACAGTCAGTGATGTGTGTAGGCTTTGCATTACCTGCTCGTATCTCTCCAGTGAGTGTGTGAAGGTGTGTGAGTGGTAGTGCTCCAGCAGCCGCTCTTGCAGGTAGTTGTGGCAGAGCTCGGACCAGTTGGCTCCTCGCTCATCTCCTGAGTGTCTTGGGTTCCTGAGGCCTGGCGTGTCCACCATCATCACAGACGCTAAAACCATCTGCTCGCTGCTCAAAGCCCTAATCACAAAAACACAACCGCTGTCATGTGGGCTCGTGTTTTATCAAAGTCTAACTGGTCCTGATGACATGTTGTTAATGAATATGACACTAGCCTTTTTGCATTCAACTGGAGCTTCTAGGAGAGATCATATCTCCCCAGTTTTAGCTTCTCTCCATTGGCTCCCTGTCAAGTCAAGAATTGAATTCAAAATCTTACTTCTAACCTACAAAGCTCCCAACAACCTAGTTCCATCTTATATTTGAGATCTTATTGTTCCATATTTCCCTAACAGAGTAATTCACTGTCAGACTGCAGGCTTACTTGCGGTTCCTAGAGTTTCTCAAAGCAGAATGGGAGGAAGATTTTTCAGTTATCAGGCTCCTCTCTTGTGGAACCAACATCCAGTTTCTGTCCGTGAGGCTGACACATAGTCAAGTTTTAAGACTGGGCTTAAGACTTTCCTTTTTGATAAATCTTATAGTTAGGGTTGACTTCTTATGCTGCCATAAGCTTAGACTACTAGAGGACAAACTGACCTTGTTTCCTTAAATTAATTGTTTCATTGAATAGTTTTCATTTGATAGTATTTCTATCTTAACGTGTGATTCTTGACCTGCCATTGTGTATCTGTTCCTACCAAACCCAGTCGGTCAAAGCAGTTGGCCGCTTGTCCTCAGCCTGGTTCTGTCACGCTCAGCGGCCCCCACTGCCCCCAAATCTGTTCAAGCCTCTGCTCCTCATATCACAGCCCCTGTTTTAAGATCATTCACGTTTTTTCCTGCTTCAGTATTGAGTTCCCCTCTCATTCATTCAGCTCCTGTCACTCTGGCCACTCTCCCTCTGTCATTTCTAGCTGCCTTTCAATCACCCCTGCAAAGCCTGCCTACCTGATTCTCCCTGATCACAGTAATCAGTGTTGATGCTCTACACCTGGCGCCAGCCCTTTATATACTCAGCTCTTGCCTCTGCAAGGTGCCAGATTATTGAAAGCTTCACAGCCAGCAAATTATCCAGCATTTTCTCGTTCCTAGTTTCTTCGTTTTTGACCACAGCTTCACTCTTGACTCCTCGCTTTGACTTTGCTCGTCTGGATACCACGCTCTCGGCCTACACGGTACAACCTTGCTCTCCTCTTCGACCATGACTACGGATCATCCTTTTGCCTGTTCACACTGCTCCTGGCTCTCGACCCCTGCTACGTCCCTGGATTCTGTTTCCTGCCCAGCCCTCCAACGTTCTCTGTCTCAGCCCTGCTCCTGCCACAGAAGGTTAGTGACCTGCACACCACCTCTCTCAGCTCCCAGAAACTTTTTGCAGTCACTAACCTGTCTGTCTTCATAGATTGGACCAGAACCAAGGCTCGGATCCTCCCCAGATGAACGCCTTTAATAAATAAAACCTTTTTTTTAATATTGTCCTGAGTCAGGTGTTGTGCTGATCCATACAGACTCGGTACAGGTTCTGCTAAAGGTTTCTTCCTCATGAGGGAGTTTTTCCTTTCCACTGTTGCCTTTGTGCTTGCTCAAGATGAGAGTTCTGCCATGAAGTTAAACGCAAAGCAGTCTGCTCCTCAGATATACAGTATAGTGTTAACTTATTTTTATGTATAGGAATGTTTCTGTTCAGTGCCCTGAGATGACTTCTGTTGTGACTTGATGCTATATAAATAAACTGAACTGAACTGAATTGAACTGAATGATCTGAATCTCATTTCTCCACCAGCTCATGATCCATCCTTCTCATCTCACTGTGTAACTGTATTTGACCACTATGAGCACATCTCACAGTCTTTTTTTGGAGCAGCTAATGTGCAACATGAAACTGTCTTGATACTGTCCTCCCTAGACTTCTAAAAGAGGTTTTTCCTATTTTGTGCACCTCTATTCTCTCTATTGTGAATAGCAGTCCATCCTCAGGTGTGGTGCCAAAAAAGTTTCAAACATGCCCTTCAACCTTGCTGAAAGAAAACTAGCCTTCACCCCTCAGTGCTGTCCAACTTAAGGCCTGTCTCTAGACCCCCATTTGTTTCCAAATTACTTGAAAAAATAGTCGAGTCCCAGTTAAAATATTTCACAGTGGACCATTCTATTTTAGAGGTGTTCCAATCGAGCTTCTACTGGACCTTACATCTGCTTTTGACATAATCGACCACGTGATCCTCATTTCTAGGCTGGAGCAGTGGGTGAGCATCACAGGGTCAGCCCTCAAATGATTTAGATCCTACCTCTCTGACAGAACCTTTTGTGTCAACCTCAAAGATTTTAGTTCAGTGGTGGCAGCTCTTCGGTGGGGGATACTGCAGGGGTCCATCCTCGATCTTCTTCTCTTTTCTTTATACCTGCTGCCACTAGATGCTATCTTTTGTAAACATGGCATATCCTTTCATTTCTATGCTGCTGACTATCAAATTTACTTCCTTCTGAATCATAGTGGTGCACATTCTATTCAACCTCTTCTTAACAGCCTGGCTAACATCACGGACTGCATGGCTTTAAATTTCTTAAGTTTTAATGAGAAGAAGACTGAAGTCATGTTTCCTCCTAATGGCATGATCAAGAACCTCTAGCCCCATTAGAGAAACAAAGAGTCACTAATCTGGAGTGATAATTCAAGGATTGAAGGATTCAAGGTTCTTTACTGTCATTTGTATCACATGTGGTACATGAGGTGGAACGAAATTGTGTACACAGGGTCCCAGTTACATTCAACAATAGTAAAAATTTAAAGTGTAAAACGAAAAAGTAAATATGGATCTAAGATATCAACTAAGATATACACTAAATTAACGCCAAACTGTACACTTAAAGATCTAAGATGTACGCCAGTCACTAGTAGTTCTAAACAATACACCAAACAACAGCAGCACGATTATCATAGGTTTGGTTTACATGCTTAATGCGAGCAGAGTCAGGCTCGAAACTCTAGAACTAACATAAGCTCATGCAACAAAATTACAGAAACAAGGTGTCAAAAGAGAAAACAAAATAAATCTACAGCAGCATGGTCCTATTGGAGGAGTGGTTCTGATGACACTGAGGTTATCTTAGCAACATGGTTCAGTTAGCAGCATGATACTGTTAGTAGTGAGGTTCGGTTAGCAGTGAGGTTTCTCTTAGCAACATGATCCTGTTGGCACCATGGTACTGTTAATGGCGTGGTTCAGTTAGTGGCGTGGTCTTGTTAGCAGTGTTAGCAAGTCTCATTAGCAGGTGCAATCATCAGCATTATGATAATAATGACCGTAGCAGCTGCCTTCCAGACTGCCCTCCAGAACCGAGTCTTGCAGACAGAGAACATCCAAGGTTCCCCCCGTGGAACCAGGTGGGTCTGCAGAGTTCAGTCTGTGCAGGCAGACGGGGGATCTTGTAAGCAGCTTTAGCAGGTCTAGTTAGCAGGTACCGTCAGCAGCATGATAATAACAATGACCACAGCAGCTGCCTCCCAGACTGCCCTCCAGAATCGGGTCTGGCAGACAGAGAGCATCCAAGGTTTCCTCGCGAAACTGAAGAGGTCCATAGAGTTCAGTCCATGCAGGCAGGTGGAGGATCTTGTTAGCAGCATTAGCAGGACTAGTTAGCAGCTTGATGGTAATAATGACTACAGCAGCTGCCCTCCCAGACTGCCCTCCAGAACCGGGTCCAACAGACGGAGAACATCCAAGGTTTCCCTGCAGAATTGAATGGGCTCATAGACTTCGGTCCGTACAGGCAGATGGAGGATCATGCAGACAGCCACCATGACAGGCCTGAGTCCAAGGCTCGAAGGACTGAACAACGATGGCACAATGGCACAATGGCACAATGGCACGATGGCAATGCAGCAAGACAGAAAACTCCACAAGTGTGTCGTAGTCATACCCATACTGTGGATGTGCATTGTAGGGGCAAAAAAAGTTAAAACCAAAACAGTAGGAACAAAAAACGATTGAGTTCACCGGGAACCTGTGAAGCTGCGGCTCGGCTGAGCATGGCCATCTTGGATCAGTTTGATCCTTAGTTGGATCATAAACTTTAAAAAAATTCCATGAAACTTAAAAGTCATGTAAAAGGTAAATGGACTGTACTTATATAGTGCCTTTCTATCTTATCAAGCTACTCAAAGCACTTTACACTACAATCTGTGCCCTCATTTACCCATTCATACAGCACTCTATTATATCTCTACAAAGCTAATTGAACAAATCAATCTAAAGAGACTAATCAGTGCTTGATCACATTCATACACCGATGGAACACACATTTGAAGCAATGAGGGGTTCAGTGTCTTGCCCATGGACACATCGGCATTTGACGGCTGGTGGAGTCCAACCCCCAATTCTTGCATTGGAGGATGACTGCTCTAACCACTCAGCCACAGCCGTCCACAAAGCCACAGCCACCCACGTAAACACGATTGTTAAATCCTGTTTTTTTGTTTGTTTGTTTGTTTGTTTTCAGCTGAGGCGATTGTCTAAATTGAAGCCCATACTGTCCAAAAAATAACCTTGAGACTGTAATACATGTGTTCATAACATCCAGGCTCGATTACTGCAATGTGTTTTTTTTTAAAAATCAGTCAGACCTTCATTGCACAATTACAACTGGTCCAAAATGCTGCAGCCCGATTACAGGTATAGGAAAAAGAGAGCACATTACACCAGTTTTGTCCTCCCTGCACTGACTCCTGGTTCATTTTTTTAATTCAGTTCAAAATGCTTCTGTATGTTTTTAAATCTTTGAACAGTACTGTCCCCTCTTATCTCGCTGATCTGCTGCAGCCATATGTCCCACAGCGTTCTCTGAGGTCAGCAGATCAGATGCTTCTATAGGTTCCAGGAATTCATCTCACACTCAAAGGTGACAGGGCATTTCTTTTGCAGGTCCAAGACCATGGAATGAGTTACCACTGCATGTCAGGCAGTCCCATTCTCTCACTGTTTTTAAGTTTCTCTTCAAAACCCACTTTTATTCCCTGGCTTTTGACACTGAGTTATTTTGTTTTTAACCTGCCTGTATTCTACAGTGTTAGCCATTTAGTTATTATCTTCTTCCATTTGGATCTATGCATTTTTGCAGTGTGCTTTACTTGTTTGTTTCTACTCTACAGCACTTTGATTGGCCCTGTTGCTGTTTTAAGTGCTTTATAAATAAAGTGGTATGGTATGGCATGAATACTTTTTTCTGTTATCTGTGTTTAGTTCAGCAGTTAGTAACAAATCTCTTGGAACTGCATCTCATAAAACTAGCTGTGAGAATCCATTGTTGCTTCTAAGGCACTTGTCTCCTGCAAGGCACTGCAGCTGATTGTCACCTTAGAGAAAAAAATCTGTACAAGCATGGAAGAGATACCGAATAGAGGACATGGAAAATATAATGTTGATGCGAACATAGGAGATGTGTTCATACCTGTTGATGAGTGAGACAACGGCAGTGAAGACCTCTTCATAAAATCCAGCAGCCATTCCATTGACACACTGAGCAGCTGTTAAACGGGGACCTGCACAACCAGAGGAACAGAAGTAATTGAAGATGTCAGATGGGATATTTGTCTTCAAACGACTGCACATCAGCTGGCTTTTCAATTAAAACCCTTGATTTGGGTTTGTGAAGTGGACTGTTGTATCATCCTTGTCTGATATAGGATTCTAGCTGTATGGTTTGCAAGATCTTTTGTTACATAATGCCTCAAATGTTTTCAATAAATAAGAGGTCTTGATTGCAGGCAGGTAGGCCAGTCCAGTACATAGACCGATGATTAACTTTGTAGTCATGTCATCTGATTAGCGGCCATTTGTTTTGGACACTAGGGTGAAGAAAGGACCTGAGCTGTCAACTGATCACCAGCTGGTAGTGAGTTGGATCTTATATTGGGGACGACGCCAGACAGACCCGTTAGACCCAAACGTGTATTGAGGGTTTGCTGGGAACGCCTGGCAGAAGAATCAGTCAAAAATATCTTCAACTCATACCTCTGGGAGAGCTTTAACTGCATCCTAGCTGAGGTGGGGGACATTGAGTCTGAGTGGGCCATGTTTCGTGACTCAATTGTTGAAGTGGCTGCCTTGAGCTGTGGCTGCAAGGTTGTTGGTGCTTCTTGCAGTGGCCATCCTCAAACTCGATAGTGGATACCCCAGGTTAGGGAGGCTGTCAAGCTGGAGAAGGGGTCCTATCGGTCCTTGTTGGCTGGTGGGACTCCGGAGGCAGCTGGGGAGTACCGGAGGGCCAAGTGATCCGCAGCCTTGGCTGTTGCTGACACAAAAGCTTAGATGTGGGAGGAGTTCGGTGAAGCCCTGGATAACAAGCTTTGGGGAGATGCTGGCAAACCATCAGGTGGCTGAGGAGAGGAAAGCAGCGCTTTACCAACACTGTTTTCAATGAAGGTGGGGTGCTGTTGACCTCAACCAGTGATGTTGTTGGGAGGTGGAAGGAATATTTCTCAGACCTTCTCAATCCCACTGGCATGTTTTCTATGGAGGAAACTGAGTCAGGGGACTTCGGGGTTGGTCTGTCCATAACCGTGGCTGAGGTCGTTTAAGTAATTGAAAAGTTCCACGGTGGCAGGGCTCCAGGGGTGGATGAGATTTGCCCTGATTTCCTTAAGGTTCTGGATGTTGTGGGGCTGTCTTGGTTGACATGCATTTGCAACATTGCGTGAACATCAGGGGCAGTGCCACTGTATTGTCAGACTGGGGTGGTGGTCCCCCTCATCAAAAAGAGCAGCCGGAGGGTGTGCTCCAATTACAGGGAATCACTCTCTTTAGCCTCCCTGGTAAAGTCTATTCAGGGGTACTAGACAAGCGAGTCCAATTGTTGGTCGAACCTCAGATCTAGGAGGAACAATGCAGGTACCATACTGGCCATGGAACACTGGACCAGCTCTTTACCCTCACTAGGGTCCTTGAGGGTACATGGGAGTTTACCCATCCAGCCAACATGTGTTTTGTGGACTTGGAGAAGACATTCAACTGTGTTCCTTGGGGTACACTGTGGGTGGTGCTCCGTGAGTATGGGATTGGGGGCCCGTTGTTACAGGCTGTTCAGTCCCTATAAAAGCAGTATGAGAGTTTGGTTCACATTGCTGGTAGTAAGTCGGACCCCTTCAGTGTTAGAGTTGGACTCTGCCTGGGCTGCCCATTGTCACCGATTATTTTAATAACTTTTATAGACAGAATTTCTCGGTGCAGCCAGGGGGCAGAGGGATTCCAGTTCGGTGGCCTCAGGATTCCATCTCTGCTCTTAGCAGATAATGTGGTCCTGTTGGCGTCATTGTACCATGATCTTCAACTCTCACTGGAGCGGTTCGCAGTTGAGTGTGAAGCGGCTGGGATGAGAATCAGCACCTCCACATCTGAGGCCATGGTCCTCAAACGAAAAAGGGTGGATCGCTATCTTCAGGTCAAGGGTGATGTTCTGCCTCAAGTGAAGGAGTTCAAGTGTCTCCGGGTTTTGTTCACGAGTGAGGGAAGAATGGAGCTTGAGATTGGCAGATGGACTGGTGCAGCATCTGCAGTATTGCAGACTCTCCAATGGTCCGTTGTGGTGAAGAGGGAGCTGAGCTATAAGGCAAAGCTCTCTGTTTACTGGGCAGTCTACGTTCCTACCCTCACCTATGAACACGAGCTCTGGGTAGTGACCGAAAGAATGAGATCAAGGATACAAATGGTTGAAATGAGATTCATCTGCAGGGTAGCTGCCGGTCTCTCTCTTAGAGACAGGGTGAGAAGTTCAGTTATCCAGGAGAGACTTGGAGTAGAACCGCTGCTCCTCCACATCGAGAGAAGCCAGTTGAGGTGGTTTGGGCATCTAAGGATGCTCCCTGGGCGCCTCCCTAGGGAGGTGCTTCAGGCATGTCCAACTGGGAGGAGACCCCGGGGAAAACCCAGGACATGCTGGAGAGACTATGTCTCTCGGTTGGCCTGGGAACGCCTTGGGGTCCCCCCAGAAGAGCTAGAGGTGGCTGTGGAAAGAGATGTCTGGGCCTTCCTGCTCAAGCTGCTGCCCCCATGACCTCACCTTGGAACAAGCAGAAGGTATGGGATGGATGCATGGATGGACATTTGCATTCACAATATGGGTTAGTGTGTACAAATATACAGTACCTACCGGTCTATATAACATTTTGCAAAATAAAACATTGTTTTTAAAGTTCCATGTGTACAACATCTATTTATTATAGGTGGTAGAAAGGGATACAGTCTGTTAAGAGTAGCCAATGAACTAATAAATCGTCCATCTGTAAAGTTTTTTGACACCTCTCAACATTGTCACTCCTTTCTAAAATACTCCCACTTCCTGGGACTTCCCCTGTTCACTTTGATTTTGTTCAACCTCTGTGTATTTCTCACCCTCCTCAGACTCGTTTCTTTCCCTCTTGCCTCCCGTGGCTCTCTGCAGCAGTTGTTGCAGGTGATGTTTAAAGACAGCGGTGTGCAGCTCTTCTCCCTCACATCCGAGCACGCTGCTTGCCACCTGAGCACTGTCAAAGTTCAAAAACTGCCTCCTGCCCACTGAGCGGACACAAAGAGAGGACGAAAGGTTGGTAGTCAGGAAGGCAGTTCACTCAATGATTTAGTCATTCCACTCTGGAAAAACAAAGGTTTTTTTTTCAAATCCTTTAGAACTCCAAACAAAACTTACATTTATGAGTTTTTGTGACATTTTAACTCCTGTTCAAAAACATACAGGCAGCTGTGTTACATTAAAACGTAGCAGCTCATTGACATTCAGACATGTCTACTTGTGGAACTTTCTTCCCTTCTCTAAATTTATCTACAATACTTTCACTTCAACCTTGATTTTTTTTTTTAAGTTTGCATAAAGATTTGGTTTTAGTTAGGAATAAGCTTTTGACAGGACTCACAAGTTGAGAAACAATCAAGTCTGTGTTTATGTGGAGGATACTTAGTGCGTGACTGATGAGACTTGTTAATCAGTGTTACCTTTGCAGGCTCCTGCAGCCCCCAGATGGTAAATACCAGCCAGAACATGCCAGATTGCCGACTGCTCACCAACTGAGAAGTCTAACGTTTTCATGGCAGCCAGCAGCTTGGTGAAAGCAACAGATGCTCGCTGTTTTTCCTCAACCTGTGATCAGACAGACAGAGAGAGGACGGGAAGGAGGTGAGGAGGAGAGAGGCAGTCTGTCAATGCTTTCTCTGAAAATCAGCCACTTCATCAGGTGGTGGAACATCTGAGTCACATCTCATCGCTCATCAGACTGAAACAGATCTGGCCGCTGCAGAAATGTTCCACTTCTAAAGAGCTCGCTGATTCCACCACCCCCCCCCCCCCCCATTACAAAAACTGTTTGATCACAAGAACAAAGCCGTACAAACTGAACTTGTGGTTTACTTGTGAATCAATATGATCTAGAAAAGCATTCTATTAATGTGGTCAGTGTGCGTTGAAATTTATATAGTAAACCCCATGAGTTTTCAGACAAAAATAAGGTAATAAAAAAAAACTATTGTCATTTCTACCAAAAACATACAGGTGTGTGGTGAAACAAGACGTTTCTCAAGAATCATGGTGCTACATATATTGTAGGATGTATACAGTCATGTAAAAACGAGTCCACCTTTTCTAATATTCTGCAGGGCATAACTAAAATGATCTGGTCTTTTCAAGATTCTAAAATTATTCAAATATAACCTGAAGCAAACAAAAACACACAACAGATTCCAACATGTCAAGACTGATTAGTCTCTTTAGAATGATTTGTTCAATTAGCTTTGTAGAGATCTAATAGCATGTTGTATGAATGGGTAAATGAGGGCACAGATTGTAGTGTAAAGCGCTTTGAGTATCTTGAAATAAGATAGAAAGGCGCTATATAAGTACAGTCCATTTACCATTTACTAAGATTAAACAAAAACTAAGCCCAAATGGAAAAGCTGTGTGTGAAAAACTAAGTCCACCTCAGGATTAATTAGTTTGAAAAATCTCCTTCTGCAGCAAAAATCCTCACAAATAATCTTCTGTCTGTCGTTGTTCACATGGTTGTAGAAACATTTTATCCCACTACATCTTAGAACTTTGTAAAGATCAGATTATTTTAACAAAAATGTAATTGAACTTTTATATTGAAGTTTATACATA